CCATTCCTTTGATCTGTTCTTTTGAAAGTTAAGGCTAGCCATGTTTCTCATTCGACCAGTCTCCGTGAAGCTAGCAGTGCTCATGGCTGGATTTCATAGCACTATAGTCTGAGCAGCAAAACAAAACAAAACACAAAGTTTTTCTGGGAAAACGTACGACGAAAACTTCCCTTCAAATTCTTCAATCTCTGTAGCGATGCTATTAACCGCTGTAAAGTAATGATTATGCGCTTCTTCGATCCATGTCCGTGTTATTTCCTCTTACACAAATTCCGATTGCTTTAAATTTGCCCGGCGTAGACACAACAGCCAAGTTCCGCATCGTCAGCATATTCGTAATTGTCGACACTGACTGAAGAAGGAGGCAGTATGTTCCCTCCAAAACGTTGGTGGGCTTGCGTACCTAAACGTCCACAGGACATGACAGCCTTGAAGACCAACATCGACATCATCACCGCCGTGAGAACCTCAGATCTCATACATCCGTAATTGTTTATAAAAATAAAATGTGTCATTAAAAATGTATGTCTCGTGATAAAGCCTGGTTCGTGACAAAATTATAAAATAACAAATATGAAACTTCTTATTACCGTCTAGTTCAAAAATTGCTATCATCCCATCTGCTTTCCACAACTCTTGAGGATCAGAGTACATAAAACATTGTAAATTGTTTTGTATGAGTATAAAATCTGACCACTTACTTTAAGTGAAGGGCATAAATTACAGGTGTTTTGAAAACAAAGTGCTCAGGCAAATATTTGACTCATTTATATACGTCACATAATTTTGTAGAGTAGTGGAATGTAGAATGCGATTTTCTGAGATCTGGGGGACACCGCTTAGAAAACGTCCACTTGAAAGATCGAGATGGAGAGATTAATATGAAGATGGGAGCTGGGTGGAACTGGCTGAGACTCGTGCCCAATCAATGGCGGTCTTTGGTATCAGCGATTTCGATGCTGTTACCAGAGAATAAGTTATTTTAATCACGGGAGGAACATACAGACACGCCGAGAGCACTTTAAGACCCTTGTAATGAACCCTGGGATCCAGAATTACAAAACTGATAACACGAATCTTTTAACCAGGCTTCTATATCCCTCTGCTTATACGCGCTGGCACAGGGTGATCTATACAACAGGTAGAACCAATTCCAGATCCCCACTTCCAATCAAAGAGTGAAAGAAATGAAAAAAACAGTGACAGGAAAATGACAGGGCGGACAAGGACGGAAGACTCTTTGAACTTTCTTACGTCTTGTGAAAGTCTTCTTGGCCTATAATACAGGCTTCTTTGGTAGCACGCCATGAATAAAAGATGAAAGCAATTTTTACAATATCCTCGACTTCTGTCCGCCATGTTGCATTTTACGTCCGACTGACCAACGGTTGCAAAAGGGAGCAAAAGAAATGCGATTCACGTGATAACTTCGACGAAGTCACAGCCCCCCCACACCCTCCTCCCTTTGATACGATTCGGGGGATGAATTGTAAATGGTTGCTTGATTTATTTAATTACAAGCGCAAAGCTGGATAGGTTATGAAGGGTCGAATGGTAAAACAGTTGTAAATAATTATTTGAAAAAAATGTGGTAGGAAGCGGTCGTGGTCTATTTTAAGACATGGTGTCTCAGAATTTTCTTGGGACTGAGGACAAACAACCCGTCAAAATGCCCAAGCTTAGAGTCGAGATTTAAACGTGAAACCTTCCGCATACAGTGCAGGAATGTCAACCATGTGAGCGAGAATTGAAACGTAACAGGACACATTAGTTGGTACTTCATAGAAAATACAAAAATGAGCACGTAATTAAAACGACGAATTCTGTGAAGAACGCCACTGCCCTTCTTCGCATATTTTTTCTCTACAAAACGAGGCTACGAGGGGCTATAAATTAATATACGCCATTTAACTATCAATGTCAGTGCATTTTTCATAGGAAGGATGCCGAGAGGATTAGCTTTGTGGTATTATCACTCCACCCCAGAAGTTTTCATTAGGTCATGAAAGTGTAATGATGGAAGGAAGTTTGAACGCACAAATGCAGGGAAGCTAAAAATCAATGTCCGTGAGCTACTGGCGAATCACATTTTGGGAGCCCTGGCCTAAAGTGGAAAACAGTTGAAAGCAGAGTGCACTGATGGCGATACAATAAGCAATAAAACACGCATAATTCTTGGGACAAAATTCGCTTGAAAGGACATATATTAAATTCTAAATAGCCACTGCACTTGCTACGACTTCAATTTTCCTACGAACTGAGACGCTGCATGAATAGGAAATCTGCCTTTACGTTACAGCCTGTTCCAATAAGGAAACTACTATATTTACCGTCTCGTCCACACTACAAACAAGAAGACAGAAACTGTAGGCATGTGTCTGTGTCCATTGTCTGCTATAAAACGCAGTCGTTTTGAAAACGACGCAAGGGGAAACAACTAAAAGACACTGGATTCAGCTCTCAAGGGACAACAAACCTCTTACTGAAGTCAGGACACGCTCTCACACCAACCCCAACCAACAACCCCAACAACCCCAGGATCGAGAAACCATCCACGCAAGAAGTAGAGACAAGTTGCGGCCTGTGTCGAAAAAAAAAAACTTCCTATAGCCACAACAGAGGCATAAAGATGACGAAGAGAGTGGATGAGGGACAGATCGAAGAAGAGAGAAAGCTAAAAGCAAGGCACACAGAAAGACAGAAATATAAGGGACAATATTAACAGGAAGTACGAGGGTTTAAGAGAGAGAGAACGTCACAAATATGGGAAAGAATGAATAAGAAAAGAATGCGATTGAAGGGGCCAGAGGGAGGTTGAAAACGAAGATGTATGAAGAGATGCTACAAGGAAAATACTGGAAGAGACAGAGCGAATTAAGGGATAAAGCAAGTTCAGAACAAAAAATGAACAGAGACGTGCCGAGAGAGAAGCGGATACTGTGCGAGAAAGGGTGGATGAGAGGATGCTGGGAAAGAG